TATATGTAATTACTTTTAGTTTGGGCCCCAATTTGTAATTATTTTCATTTTTTGGGCCCTTATATGTAAATTCCCCTAAATTAAAATATTCAGAATATTATACAAATAATACAAATAATATGATTGCTACACTGCATAAATATAACTTACTCTCATACGGACAGGTACTTCGCTTTGGGGAACCGGATCTATTTTTACAATAATACAATCATGGGCGCGACCAGGACTTAACCAGTAGCACAATGCTTCTTCGACGTGATCTAATGTTTCGGAATAAGCTACTTCTACAACTAAGTTTGGCCAAGGAAAATCCTAAATAAAAAAAAAATATATTGCATTACTAGCTTTAAAGAGTTCAATACCAATAACAAGTACAGAAAGTACATTTCTATCGCTCCCATTTGGTGGAGTTACAGGCGGTTTGTCCGGGCGAAATGATGAATTGGCTTCTTTTCCACGGTTTATGTCTCTTGTTCCTTCAAGCAATCAAATTAATGCGATGTCACAAAAAAAAAAAAAGTAATATATCAAAATATTAATCTTTACTAAGTAGCACCAAAACCTATAATCACTGCATTAGTTCTTCTAGCATTATTGCAGCCATTCATTATTTCACTAGTGATTGCGGAAACGCAAACTTCATGTGGTGCAGAAGGAAATTCATAGATTATGACTTTTCCCTCCCGCCATTCCCAACAACTACGAATAGAAAACTTTTCTGTACGTTGTTCATATTCTTCTATAGTAATACCCGTGGCAAGCACATATGGCAGACTTAATAAACAAATTAATATTAGCAACCGGCTCAAAAAATATCAACACCAAGCAAGTAAACTTACGCTACTTCTTCCCACTTTGCTTTTTCGCTAAATTCTCCCTTATCCCACCACAGACTTCGATAAAAGTTGCACTCTGACATTATTAAACCACTGCACGGTTTTCGCGTCGCAGAACTTAAATGTGTGACAGGTTACGCTAATTGATCAACATCGGCCTATATTAAACAGTTTTTAAATGTTATGGTTAGATTGAAAGAGAAGAGTTATGTAAAATCTATACCAAAATTATGAGTAGAATCTTTTTTCTTAGAGAACCAAGAGTGGTTTAATAGGCAAAATTTTGGAATAAAAAAAAATTTTTCTTAATTTTGTCGATCAACCTGTCACACATTCTAGATGTGCTTTCTAATAAATAATTTCACATGATCTGAAAAAAATTTGGATGGTGAATTTTACCCGATTAATCGTGAAATAATATTATGGACCACTTGTTCTCAAATAAATACGTCATTTATCTATTTAAACTAAACTCAGATTTTCGCATTTTGATCCTTCATTGATATATTTAATAAAATAATAAATTGGATTTTTTGGATTTTTTAGCACTTGCAGCATTAATTTTAGCATATGGTATCGGCCATTAGTTGCAACCTTAATTTCGCATGCCAAATACTAGGTAGAAATTATGCAAAAATACTTTATTGCTATATATGATATTTCGCAATAGTGTTAAAAACAAAATTTGATCATTATTACAAAATATTAGATTTCAAAATTCTTATAAACGTATCATTTTTTTAATTTATAATAATAATAATTATAATTATATGAAAAAAATAGTGTGAATAATACATACTAAACTATAAAGTAATATAAAGTCAATTATATGTAAGAACTTTTTTTGGGGTTAATATTTTTAGCTCGACAAACGTTAGCATCATTTGATACGCACATATCTTTACAATATTCCAATGCCAATACTATATTTATATATATGTGTATGACAAAAGTTTATAAATCTGGATTGTAATCGGTTTTTCATAAATTCCGGGACAAAGTGTGCAAATAATTACGTATATTGTAATGCGATAAAGATTATTTGGGCGAAAAACTTGTAAATTGATTCATATTCATATTTCGTCTTTTTTGGAAAAGTTCAATCCTGAGTGATTAGCTATTAATGTAATATTTATTTTGATGAATATGTTTTATGACTAAGGTCGCTCTCAAGCGCCTCAATCAATGAGTCAAAAAGTGTCTGGGAATAAATTTTACTTAGCGGAAAATATT